CCATTCGCTGTGGCTGCCCCCCGTCTCGGGGGCCAGCCACAGCGAATGGCCGATATTATGCCCGATACTATTATTTATTATTATCTTGGAAAGAGTTTAATGTAAACTTTCAGTACATTATTATGAATAATGATGGAGGTTTAGTCATACTGTTATGTATTATATTATTGTAATGCAAGTTGTGCATTACAATAATGCATACTTAGTGCCTTAGGAAGCTGGTGCAATTTCAGTTTTGAAAAGATGGGACATTTATTGTTGTACATCCTCAATCAAATAGTAAATGTAAGAGTACTTAAATTTACTGGGGGAAAACTGGGCCATTAGCAGTGGCAGACTATCATATCTTCAGATCTGCTGTTGGTTGACAGTAGGGAAAAGGGATCAGTATAATAGTGTTTCAACCTTAATGACTCCTGGTCAGTAGAGAATCGTGCTGGATCATGAAAAGCAGCTGCTCGTGATACACAGACAGGATTCTTATTGTACTTAATTCATTTCTTCCCAAAAACCTCAACATTTAGGGATCAATCAATCCATCCATCCATCCACTGCAGATTGAGTTAATCTCTCAGCAGTACAATGGCGGCATCAAAAGGTTAGCCTCAGGAAAAATCTGTAGGAACAGAACATCTCTGGCTAAAATTATTGATGTACCATAATGTCTCTGTATAGCAATATTTGAATGAACTGTACGCCACTATTTTCCACCAAGTCAAGAGACCCGGCATCCGTAATGACCCGGCAACCTTACAAACATCCTATTGCAACATCACCCAACACCAAGCAAGAGAGATCCTCCCAGAGCTGCAGCACACTGGGTAAGTACCTGCTTGCCGCAGTCGCAGGAACTCAGAAGGATCAAAGAAACAAGGGCACATCACCATCCCGCCTGGTGAGCACGCACCAGGCAGTTAGGAACGTCATGTACTGGATGACTGAGAATCATCACTCTATAGGTTACCATTAAAACAAACTTCAAACACATTTTATCAGCTGCTTGCTTCTGAAGCACAGCATATGAGAGGAGAACAAGCTCCAGCCGGGCATGCATCCCAGGCTTCTACAATCAGAACTTTGCACACACCGCTCTGAAATGGGATTCATCTACGACAAAACGCACAGAAAGATTTTAAAACTCTCAGATTTGAAATGGATTCAGCAAAACACACGAGGGAGTTGGTGCATCATGTCGCTCATGGATCTCTGTGTTCTGCATTCGCTTTAAAGACCCGATCTGAAAGACACTCATTAAAGCACTGGTTTAAAATGGAAATCATTGCAAGTAAAACTAATTTTTATTCACACATGCTCTGTAACAGGTAAAACATAAAATATTCAATAGCCTTTACCACTAAAGTGTCTGTCAGATACAGTTTAAACGGTAAACGTTGTAATGAATTATTGATGGTTTTGCCACTCAGTGTTTAACACAATATGCAAATGAAACATTTTTTTTGTCCAACAACAGGAGTTTATGACACTAAAAGGAAAATTAAATGAACTTTAATACCAGCAGCAACCATACTAGAAATTTTAGGAAGTCTTTTACATCATGTTGTTTTAATCAGTTTGAATAAAATTCTGATTTTGTTATGTTATCATATACAGTACACTCTGTCTGTGTCTATATATTTGCCTCAGCCATCTCTTCTGAACGGTAATGTTTTAAATTAGTCTGGGTCAGAATTCAATTCAGCAGTCAAAATGATCAAAACTCTGGTCTTGCATAAGGTCTTCCAAAGTTGTTCTACGAGCTTTTCCTGTTTTGTCATCAATTACGAGCAATGGCCATGCCTGGCCGTAAAAGCGTATCATACAGTGAACCCTTAAAAATGAGGAAAGTGAACAAGAGCAGAACACAAGCATAACTGTGTGGCCATTAAAAAAAAAAAAAAAAAAAAAACATTTATTAGATGATTACCTGAAAGCCATGTCCATAAGCAACCGGATAAAATAAAATCCACAAAGACCCGAGAGACCTTCAGCTCTACAAGTAAATGTTAACCAGGCTTCTGGTAAACAAATACAAAACATTCTACTCAAAATTGATTCTTTCTTAAGCTGTCTGTGGTGAATAAACAACATTCATGTGCAGAATGTACCAAGAGTTTTTTTTTCTCCCCTCCTTCATCTAGCCACAAGCAGCACAATAATAGAATGACTACTGAAGTGATTATTTTCTTTATGATCATATTTGAGATCAAATCTATATTTTTAAAAGGGGATCACATGAACATAATTAAAGAAAAACTAAATGAATAAACAGTGCTTCGCATCATAATTTAATTAGTTGCACATTTAAGTTTCAGGCACAAGGACTTAACTGAGAGACATTCACCTCTGTATTAAATCCCCTGGTTCATCAAGTCTCCAATTAGTTTGAGTGTAAAGTTTAATGGAGCTGACAAAGAGGAAATGTCAGCATGATTTTTTTTTTTTTTTTTACCTAATAGGTCTTTGGAAGTTTATTTGCAGACTACTACAACATTTAAAATGTGGACATTTAATTAAAAACTTCTAGTGTATCAATTTTGAAATTTTACTAAATTTATTTTATTGTTTTATCCCAGAGACTCACAAAAAAAAAAACAGCCCAACACATCAGATAGTTAAATTATCTGTACCTCCAAACTATCCACAAAGCAGCAGCAAAATAAAAAAGATGTGCAATTAAAAAATCCCTAGTCATTCACTCATTTCAGTTCCCACAAATTTCAGCGTACACCAAAAAAAAAAAAAACCGAAAAAAACCCACATGTTCCTGCTTCCATCGCTTTAGTTATCTACTTATCTGGAAATCTGGATTTACACTATTTCTTTGACTCAAATCCTTGATTTATACACACACCTTCTTCTTGCAGTTTCTGTGTTTCATAGAAATTTTGTAATTCACAGAAAATTATAACATCTTTGTTCTGCATTAGTAAGCTTAAATTACTTGAGATGTGGTATGCACTGCCCTGACAAATCCTTTCCTTGTCTGATCATTTTCCACTATCCACCTGTACATCCATAAGCTTCCCGAATATCGAACACATGAAGCAATACTGCGTGGAAGAAGTTGACCTTTAAATTGAGTAAAAAAGTAGATTTTTTTTTTTTTTCTGTTATCTACCATGCTAAATTTAGCTTAAAGGTATCATATCCTTGTTAAAACATAAGCTAGAAATGTGCAACAAATTGCAAAATAGAAATACAAATTTTGTGACCTGGATCAAGAGTCTAAAACTCGTATTTTAATCTATGTGCAATTGTAATGAGTTAGGTGATAGTTTGTATGATGCCCAGTTAGAGGTGTATAGGTTCCTGTATTTCTGCAGAAAATATCCAGTGTTATGCAAAAGTTTCAAATAAATATCACACCATTTTATACCTCAACATATTTGACCAAGTACCCAGAATACCACTTTATTTTCTCAGATTATATATCAAGTACAGATCTTTAGCAATTCACAAAGTAGACCAAGAACAGTTTCTAGCATCTTCCCAAAATACTATTACATTTTGCTAAATTAAAAGAAGTCCTATAAAATTATTATCCTAATCACCACATTAAGCTGCATAGTTGCAAATGCAGGCGTTTACACTGTCAGGCAATGATTATTTATTTCAACCCATGTGATCATGTTTGTTTTAATTCCGCTATTCAATACATTAATCCAAAAATGCATACATTTTGTTGTTACTTCTACTATTAAACCAGTTATATTAGCTTATTAAATGGAAACTTCTACGTTCTTTTAATCAATACCTGGTGGTGAGCAGCTCACCTGCCAAACTACTGCCTCCATGTGATCAGCTGTTGTGGACAAGCAGACGCTCAGCACAATGGTGTGAGAGGCGGAGGTCAGGACGCTGGCGATGATGGCTTCCCGCATGGAGAACGGCAGCATGGTGTAAACCACAAACACAATGAAAAGGAAGAAGGATACCTGCAGAGAGAAAGAAAAAGAAACTTGCTTATATCACCTTAGAGGAGTGGAAATAAAATAGAAAAGAGGAAAATGAGAGACTGCTAAGGAGTACCATAATGATTCAGGGATATGAATATAAAAATATGTAAAAAGGAGGCATTCTGCACCTGTAATGTAACACTTTCTACTGCAGAGTTAAAGTTGCGGTGCTGCATGACAAGAAAGAGGCCAGTGTTCTCACAGGCTGCAGCTTGTCATCTCTTAACCTTTCATGGCTTATTTGCCAGGCCAGTGGAAAAGCAGCAATGCAAAGTGGGGGTCAGCGACATGCAGAGTTCAGCAAAAGAAGGAAAGCACTGAGGAGAGAGGTTGAGAAAGCACCTAAAGGGGACTAACATGGGCTCTTAAATTTGATACAGCAAAAACTGGAAATAAGGATGATTGCATAATTAATCAAAATACATATTTAAGTATGCTTACAGCTTTGAAGGGCGTAATATATTCTCAGAAAGTGCATGCAGTCATAGCCTGTTGCTGTTGATTATTTGTTTAAATAGGTGATACAGCCAACTTCTAAGGTGGACAGACAAAGACCATTACTATAATGAGAGGAGCAGTAATGCATTTCCCTCTTTGAAAGTCAACTTTCTTTTTGTTAAATAACTACACAAAACTGTTTTACTAGCACATATTTCTGGACAATAATCAATCACACAATTACAAAAATAGGGGGAGCAATTTTAAGATCACCACAATAAATGTGAACTGCTTTCATGTTAGTCAGATGACTAACAGTAAATGCACAGTGACTCTGGTCAAACATAGACAATGTTTCTACCTAAAGCAAGTTAGGTTTTTCAAAAGTAGGCACATAATGCCTATATATATATATATATATATATATATATATATATATATATATATATATATATATATATAATATATATATTTTTTTTATATATATATATATATATATA